ATATATATATATATATGATGTATAATATTTATAACTAATGTTGATAACAAAAATTTATTTAGACTATTTTTTTCGAATAAGATATGTTATGATCTTCCGAAGATCTTGGAGCAAAAAGGCAAATGCTAAGGCATTTGGAGATTTGTGACCATGAAGACTTTTAATCAGCTTGACATAAGTTACAAAGTATTAAAACGATTCCGCACAAATCTTGGAAATTGGATTTCGGTGGAATTAGCTGAAAATTTGATATGTTGTAGATTTTGTTGTCCTAATGAAAAATCTTCACAAGCACAACCCTTAATAATGAACTGACCTCTATAAGATGTTACTTTTCGAAACTGGCTAATATCACAATTTAATATCTCATTTTCAACAAGTACAGTGCATTTTTACATTATTTGCATTTTCGATGTATATTTTTAAATAAAGAACTATAAGGGTAACATTGATTTGATTGTCTCTCACAAATCGTAGTGCTTAATTATTGTGAGTCTCCTCGCCTAGAAAGTAGCAACTGAGAGTACTTATTTAATAATAAAAAAATTTAACTTAAAATCAAATCAGTTTAAAACGTATATAAATAACGTATACAAATAATCACATGATCAAAAAGTTTTTAATGAAATAAAAATATTCTGGTACGCTTAAAAGTATAGTATAATTAAAAACGTGTCTCTTGTTCTTAAAAACAAAAACAGTTCTGAAAAACAAAATATTGAATGGATTAATTGAATGGAAATCTCAGTTGTCAATCCTAATTTAATTGGCATGAATAGATCACAGAAGTTCGGGCATGATCCTGGGACGCTCGCAAAGACTCGCTGCGTATAAGTCAAGTGCTCGCTGAAATGAGATAGCAACATTTCGATTGGCACATGCATAGTGCTTTTTTCATGTATAACACGTTATTTTGTCCAAATTTCCACATCATAGACATGAAGCAACATACACAGTTGCATTGATTTTCTCAGCAAATGAGAATGAATTGAAATGAATTATTAGGTGTACAACTTTGCTTCCGCCGTTTTTTTTCCGAAATTCGAGGCTTTATTGTAAAAAACTGGTTATACATTTATGATTCAAAATATTGTCCATTGCTTTCTCCCATCTTTCGGGTAGCGTACGGTATCCCGCGTCGAAAAAACTGGTCATCTTTTGAGGCTATCCACGAATCGATCCAATTTTTTACTTCTTCATAAGACCGGAAGTGCTAGTCAGCCAGGCCATGTGCCATTGATCGAAACAAGTGATAGTCAGAGGGAGCAACGTCTGGAGAATACGGCGGGTGGGGTAGGACTTCCCATTTCAACGTTTCCAAGTATGTCTTGACCATTTTCGCAACATGAGGTCGAGCATTGTCATGCTGCAAAATCACTTTATCGTGTCTCTCGTTGTATTGCGGCCGTTTGTCTTTCAATGCTCGGCTCAAACGCATCAATTGCGTTCGATACCGATCGCTTGTGATTGTTTCAGTCGATTTTAACAGTTCATAATACACTATGCCGAGTTTATTGCTGGTCCCACCAAATACAGAGCACGACCTTGGAGCCGTGAATATTCGGTTTGGCCGTCGACGTGGAAGCATGGCCGGGAACTTCCCATGATTTTCTGCGCTTGGGATTATCGTAATGAACCCATTTTTCGTCCCCAGTCACAATACGATGCAGAAATCCTTTCCGTCTTTGCAGCTGTTCACAAGCAAACAAACGCCGTTCAACATCTCTCGGCTTCAATTCGTACGGCACTCAATTTCCTTGCTTCATTCCCATGAGGCTTTGAGGCGTTTTGAAATGGCTTGTTGAGTCACTCCCAATGATCGTGCCAATTCTTCTTGATTTTGACACGAGTCTTGCTCAAGTAATGTCTCCAATTTTGCATTTTCAAAAACCTTCTCTCTTCCACCGTTATGCCGATCTTCGACGTCAAAATCACCGTTCTTGAAGCGTTGAAACCACTCATGACACGTTCTTTCACTAATAGCGGCCTCACCATAAGTATTTGAGAGCATTCGATGAGCCTCAGCCGCAGATTTCTTCATATTGAAGCAAAAAATTAAAACCTCCCGCAAATGACGAGAATTTGGCTCGTAAACTGACATTTTCAATCGAGAATAACTTTATGATGCAGACACAAATCGACTAATGTTTCTATGGAGTTATGTTGACAGATGCCCAAGTTTATTGTGTGATCTATTTATCTATGATCTATTTATTTCGACCACTTACCGCTAAAGCCATCTATAGGAAAACGGCGGAAGCAAAGTTGTACACCTAATAAAATAGATTCAGATTTTCAGAAATATGTATTCATGAATATTAAAATGAATTCTTTTCAATCCTAAATGCATTTTTATTCATTTATAAGAATTGCATAGAGCATATCTCTATGTCTTTCTCAAAATAATATTAGCATTTTTTGTGCATCGTGAATACTACTCAATTCAGAATTGTAAATAAGAAGTACAGTTGTTTTAATTCAGTTAAATTTAAAAATAATATCAGTCATTTCTGTGCAACGTTAATATTGCTAAATTCAATATTCTGAATATGAAATGCAGTTTTTCAATCTAATTAAATAAAAAAAGTTTTCATTTAAAAATGGACCATAACTTTGACTTAAATTATTCAAAATTATAAGTAGAAAATTTTTCGTTTTAATCCAATTAAGTTCAAAAAGGTTGTAAAAATAATTGCTATGTTCCTTTGTTCCTTTTTGATTAGAAGTAAAATGAATGATCGATGTGAATATTCGCAAACCCAGTCGAACACAGTCCGAATATTAGGCTAATCACGGCGTGCGACATCGGCCAAGCGAGATTAGATTATCCAACATTTATCTAATTTGTTTCTTAGTAATGTAAATTGTTCATATTTTATTGTATCTGTTTAATGATATTTTTATGATATCTATATAATTTCATGCGCTGATTTAGCTGATAGTAATTGAAGTAGAGAATGAATAACACATTTAAGAAGTGTAGCGGGTAATGTAAAAGATTCATAAGATTTAATCCAGAGATCACAGGTTCGAATTTTTAGAATTAATGTGCGTTTTTTAATATCAATTTGAAGTAGTTAATTTCAGGTTTAATTATTATAAATGTATTAGGAATAAAATTTGTAACCCTTAAATATGATGTTTTTTTTTTCGAATATTGTATTAAACTAGCGGCAGCTCAGATCCAATCCATTTCAATCCATTTAACCCATTTTCATGGATTTAAAATACGCATTAAAAAAATTTTAATCCATTTTAATCCATTCTCGTTTATTGGGTTAATATCAAAAATCAGATTATCGATCTCAAATCAATATCTTTACAGTTTTTTTTTTTATGTAAAAATACTCATATAAGGTGCAAACAATGACATAGGAATGCACCGTACTTATTGAAAATGAGATATTGCGTTATTAACCAGTTTCGAAAAGTAGTAGAGGTCAAACAGTTCATTATAGGAGATCATGCCTATGAAGATTTTTCATCAGGCCGACAAGATCTACAACATATCAAATTTTTAGCCAATTTTATCGAAATCCAATTTCTATAAGGTTTGTGCGGAGTCCTTTGAAAAAATTTGACCGAAACCCATAAGACTTGTACGAAGTGCTTTGTTTCAGATTATCCAGAACTGAAGTTTCATGCACATCATGATTTTATGGTATCTCATTTGAAGTTAATAACTACAAAATGAATGTACATAAACCAAGCTTTACTGAAGATAATTTAATATATATGTTATACAATAAATCTAAAAAAGTCTATGAAGAGCACTACATAACTTTTCAAAAGAGAGAGAGAGAGAGAGAGAGAGAGAGAGAGAGAGATTCCTAGAAATTCTATTATTTCTTAATTTTATTCCTAAAAAAATTTTTATTAGATTCCAAAGATAAAAAGAATTCCTTAATATGTTTTAAATATTTCATAATTTAAATATTAAATTTTTTAAAAGATGATAAAATGAATAATCTTCTGATACTTTATTATTATTAGTATAAATATTATAATAAAGAATTATACGTACCTTATATTGAGTTTCAGCAGGAGTATTGGCAAGAAATGGTGGAGAACCAACTAACATTTCATACAAGATTACTCCTACACTCCACCAATCACATAACTGTGTATATCCTGTACGTTGTAGGACTTCCGGCGCGATATAATTCGGTGTTCCAACGAGAGAATGTGCTAAGCATCTCTGATGTTCCCTGTGTCTTCTACGTTCTAATGGCTTTAACTGTATGCATTGACATTCGTTGTTCCAATCATCAGCTGGATCCATTGAGTCTTGTTTACCATGGCCTTGAAGCAAAAAAACATTAATTTATTTTATACATCTTAAAATACAATACATTTTTAAAGCGTTAAAACGAAAATCTTTTCACAACATTCCCTGAGAGTTCAGGGATTCTTCCGATATTCTCAAATTTTTCAGATATTTTTGTTTAAAATTCCAGATAAGAATTTTTTTAATGCAACTTTGTGAAATAAATTGGAATACAAGCAACGTAAATAAATTATACACTGAAAATTATTAATAAAAAATAGGAATTCCATGATTTATCTCATGATATCTATTTTTATTTTCAATTGAGAGCTGCGAAATCTATAGGATAATAAAGGAAAGAATTACTACAAATATAATATATAATATAATATATAATATAAGAAAATTATCCTTTTTTGTTATATATTATCTTTCAAGTGTCATCTAAATTTTTTAAAATTCATGAAACACAAAAATATAATAAAATAATGTCATATTTATCATTAATCGATTGTCAGCATTTTGCATTATTTTATTTAAAAAAAGAAATCAAAAGAAACAATAGATTTATTTGCATTGCTTGCACTTTTTGCATTTATAAAAGTTGCGTTTCATTTAACGCTCACAACACTCATGAATATTATTTGTCCTTTTTAATATTTGAATGACGGATGAAATGGTTCTACGAGTGTTATGAGCGTTAAGTTAAAAGAGGGAATAAAGTACATTCTTCTTATGGATTTTGATCTCCTTCAGTATCCTACGTCGAAAATAAATTCTGCCATGCCCGAACATTTTGTTATAATATTTGCCTTGTAATAATATTTTTAATATGTGAAAAGCCTCCACACTAATTATATATAGAAAATTGGATTCCGAAAAGAATTTTTATATATAATGTGGCTTATAATGTGACGAATAAAAGATATAAATACAAGGCTCAATAATGGATAGTTTTTAAGCTACGGTGTATCAAAGGCATAAAACTTGTACTCATGCATAAAAAACTTTTGATATCATAGCTTAAAAACTATCTATTATTAATTATTTTATTAATTATAGTATTATACACCTATAAATTTTTATAGATTATATATTATTCATATCATCGGATTCCAATTTTCTTGTATGATAGTATGGATTCCTTTTAATATTAAAAAATACAGTATATAAAAAAAATATTAAAAAGTACTATTAAGAGGCTCATTTAACAAAACGCTCAAATACGACAAAATTTATTTTCGATGAAGATTCATCATACTTAAAGTTCAAAAAGAAATTCGTGAAGAATCTTATACAATAATCAATTTTTTGACTATTCAATCAATATATTATTCACAAGTAAAACGAGATAAATATATATTTTGATATTGAAGAGAGAAAAAGCGAAAATTCTTCACGAATTTCTTCAATATCTTTCAATATCTTTCAATATCTTTCTTCAATATCCGAATATATCTCGTTTTAATTTATCTCGTTTTAAATGCAAAATTTTTTTTATAATTTTAAATAACATGAATAGACAACAATCTAAATAGATAGCAACCTAATATTTTCTAACTAAGAAAGAAACAAAATTTAAATTTAAAAGCACATTTAAAAATAAAATTTCAAAAACTCTCTGACAAGTAACGTTTTTCATTGGGTTATTTCTAATTTGATTCATGTAGTGTTTTTTTATTTAGTATAATATTTGTAATATAGAATTACATCAAAAGGAATTTGCGAAATGAATTTCAAATTATGATGTATCGTTTTTTGTTATTTTTTGTTCATTTTTTGAAAATCGGAAAATCTGTAAATCAATTATGTAAGTATTTGTCTATTGATAATTTAATATAGTTTTTTAAGTAAAAAAATCTTATATAATAATTTTTTGATCATTAAATCTGAATATATTATTCACAGAATGTATTATTCACATGAATATATTATTCACAATAAAAATCATTTTCCCCTTCAAAAAAAAATAACAAGGCCATTGGATCGTAAAAATTAAAAAAAATTCTAATAACGTTCTTTTTTTCTAGCAAGAGCTGGACACTCTCTTCAAATATTATTTTTCTCATATTCCCTCGAAATGCATTTATGAAAAACAAAAAATTTGAAATTAAATTTAAAAGGAAATTTAAATAAAATAAAATTTGATTATTTTATTTATCCATTATTTGGAATATACTATGGAAGACTCATATTCAACAAAAAATGAAATTTTTCTTTAAAATCATGATAAAAAAAATCAAAAAAAGATCAAAATTGATGATATTTACTCTTCACTCGATTTATCCTTATATAAGGATTTACAGATTTTTCGATTTTCTGGGGAAAAAAAAAAAAAAGATTCATCATAACTTGAAATTCATTCAGCACAAAATTCCTTTTTTATGTGATTCTATATTGCAAGTATAGAATTGAATTGTCTTCAATATGTAATTTTAATATAACATTACATATCGAAGACAATCCAATGTGAGAAACGTTACTTGTTTGAGTATATATAAATATTACTAATAAAATTACATAAAAATTAAATTTTTAAGGTTTTTTTTTAAAAAAAAGAAATCTTCTGAAAATTACAAATTTTGCCAAGTAATAAATATCCCCTAATTTTGAGTCTATTTTAAATGCAACACCTAAATTCGAATATAGAAATGATTGAAAATTTCTTACCGTTTTGTTGGTAATATTTAGAATTGTGAGTCCAACGAAATCCTGTGCAGAGGCCAAAGTCAGTCAATTTGATATGTCCATCGCGATCGATTAAAATATTATCCGGTTTAATATCCCTATGAATGAATCCCATCTTGTGAACACTTTCAACTGCGCACGTGAGCTCGGCGATATAGAATCTCGCCAACGACTCCTTGAAGATGCCGAGTTTAATAAGTAGTGACATTAAGTCTCCGCCAGGTATATAATCCATTACAAAATATAGATTATCCTTATCCTGAAATGAGTAATAAAGCTTGACGACCCATTCATTATCAGCTTCCGCCAATATATCACGCTCGGCCTTCACATGAGCAACTTGATTGCGATTTAGTACGTCGGCTTTCCTTAAAGTCTTCATCGCGTAAAATTGGTTAGTGTCGAGCTTTCTCACGAGTGTGACTTCGCCGAATGCACCAACGCCGATCGGTTTGATCTTCGTGAACATTGATTTATCCATTTTTGCCCGTTTTAATCTAATATAGTTGGATTCTTTTTGTGACAACATCTTCCTCATCATGCATTGCGCTTCTGCACTCAGACCGATCTTCGCCATCTCTGTCTCCAATTGCATACGCCGATACAGTCGCTGCTTGTGTGACTTGAGTATGTTCTCCACGTGCTGCTCCATGAAGAATTTAAAAGCCTGGGGAGAGTAATTTCTCACCTTACAATCCCTGCGCTCCTCTTCCTTCTCTATACTCATGGTCTTGCGTTCGGGTATAGGAGATTGATGCTTAATTTTATAGGACGAGGGTGTACCACCACTGCCGTCACCTTTGGTGCCATTACCACTCTTGGTACTAACAACAGTGCCCTCGAGTAAGGATGAATGATTGTTATTGTTGTTCCTTGTGGACACGGAAGTCGAAGCAACTGGTGGCAATGGTGGTGCATCCATCGTGTGTTGACAGTTATCAGCCGGCGAATATTTTCTCTGAAGTGGCGGATGATGGGCAACGGGAGACGTTCGCGATGCGCTGCCACTCTCTATCGCGGAGGAAATAATTGCAGTGTCTTCAGTAGGGGTGCTGTAAGGTGGTGGCGGCAACGGATGATGCATACCGCGCTGCGCCGCTAATGCTTGCATCGTCGTGGCGTAACTCGGTGGTTCTGTCGTCGGTATACCGACCGGTGACGAGTTATTCACAGGCGGATAAGCAGGCGGTGGTTGTTGCTTCTGCTGAATGGATGACGCATAAGAAGGAGGCGGAGGCGGTGTGTTACTAGTAGTGGAAATTGACTGAGGTGCCGTGGGAGCAATAGCAGTCTGCAGCACTGGTTTTTGCACTTGTGTACTTTTCACCGATTGCATGATAATTGGTGGCTGCGTCTTCGCCTGTCGCGCACCCCATGCTTGTAACGGTGTCGGCCGTGCCATCGACGTCTGCGTAGTACTAGGTGATATCGTAGATACGGTGATGGGACTGGGTGTACCAGTAGATGTCGGACCTGAATAGATACCGGATGATGGACTTTTACGATAATCCTGCTGTGACTGCGTAGGGCTCTGCCGATTTTGCATAGAAACGCTATAAGAAGGCGGCTGTACAGACTGACCGGACGATGAGGACGGAACTATAGGATACGGTGGCGGAGGTTCGACTTGGGTATTTGCATTATTATTGCTCGTCTGATAAATACTGAGAGCTTGCATTTGCTGTGTCAGTTGCTGCTGCACCTGCGGACCATTTTGTACAATCATCGGCTGACGGCTGCTCGAATTGTTGGCATTCGCCACCGGACTAGTGCCGCGTTGCGGTGGATTTACTGACGTTGATGTGGCGCCGGCCGTGCCGGATGCCGTTGTTGTCGATCTCGTCGGCACGACCGGCGCAGGTGACATTCGCTTGAGCATCTGCTGCATATTGGAAGGCACATTGGACTGACTGTATGGTGCGTGAGGTGGCGGTGGTGGTGGTGGCGTGGAACTACATCGAGGTGGCGGTGGCGGCGGCGGTTCACGATCCACAAAATTACTGGGCGAGTACTGGCGACTCAACTGTGGATGCGTGCTGAGTTCCGTGAGACGTGGACTATCGGATCGCGAGCTACCTGCTCCACTGTCCAATGCAGGACTGCCACGTTGCAGATTCAATTCCCTCTCAAGACTCGGCTTCCTGATAAGTTTGGTATTGAGTTTGCCGAGCCCATTTAGAGATTCTCCTTGAGCCTGCTTCAAATACTCTATTGCCGCATCCAATCGCCATCCCGCAAATTTCAAGGCACGCAATCCTATTTCCTACAAGAGCAATTGCGATGATAAATCATTGATATGTAAGTTTTTATCTTTTTGTGGTTAACATATTCATTCGTTTTATTTGCAATTCATAGCATTTTTCTGAAACGGGATGAATGTTATTTCATCTCGAGTTAAAGAAAGAGCAAAAACTCTGAATGCATTAAACGCGAGTAAAATAAAAGATATCCGATAATCGATTGATCTCTATAAGAACAAAGCTGTTATTCGTTTTACCTCTGAATATCCCATAGCTAGTAATTGTCCTAACGCTTGTCGTTGATCCGCTTTATCAGCGGTAGAACCGGAGGCGCCAGAAAGCCCGCTGAGACCTGAGGCAGAGCTAATGCCACTGGTCGTGGATACGGTAGAGATAGTGCTAGCGGCACTGGAACCCACCTCACCAGCCCCGCCAATATTCGCAAATGGTAATAATGAGTTGCGAATCTCAGCTAAAGCCTTTTGGTGGTATCCAGAGCCACGAGTGCTCGATTTGCTGGCAGCGGGCGGATTCATAGTGGCCCATGCTAGGCCCTCTGGGACCTAGTTTTAATCTGGCTGTGACACATGCGAATGTATCTGCAATATAAAACAGTGATGTTTTTACTTATACCAAATTTCGCACTACTTTACATTGATGCATTCTAAAGGCTATTATACAAAAGTATAATTTTAGTATTTTGATCAATAAAATATCCTATATATATCATCAAAAATATGATATTTCTTAACAAATATTTTACTAATTAAGACTTAACTAATATTACGTTTTTACAATATTGTACTTCATGTATAGTAGTATCTAATGCGCATTAGTGCAAAGTGATAGAATTTTTTATTAGTTGCAGTATCCTGAGACTAAAATAAATTTTCTCTAGAAATTTATGGAAACAAATATGGAAAAAATATGTCACACATATACAAATTTATTTAATTTTTTAATTCAAAAAAATAAGAAAACAATAAATCAGTTTGAAAAAAGCGAATCTTCCTAAGAGTAAAAAATAAGTTTTCCTGAGAATGTTAAGAATTACCTAAGACATGCTATTTATATTTAAATTACATCTTACTATCTTATATCTCTTATAAAATTAAAAACACTAATTTGAGAGAGAGAGAGAGAGAGAGAGAGAGAGAGAGAAATCTAATAAAGAGTAAAATTTGTATTTCGCGATAAAAAAAAGATACATATAGAACCTAAAAAATTTATTTTAAAACTTATTTATTATAAATAAGTTTTAAATTTAATAAATTTATTTGAATAAATTTATTTGAAATTAAGTTTTAAGTATAATACATATTAAAATACAAAACACAAAAATTATGTTTTTCTACAATATGACTATGTTTTTCAAACGAATTTAAAAAAACAAAAAGAAAGTAATAAAAGAAAGTAAGAGTTCACTTGAGTTATTATTGCACTATATTTCAAGAATATTGAGATCTCAAATATTATCTCAAAAAAATAAATTTTAGAAACCATTATGAATTTTTCCATTAAAATGACTTAGTTAACTTTTCTAAATTAAATTCTCTCACGCACGCACACAGTTCTTTACTTTATGAGTATTACGTTGTTGATTTACTATTTTCTTTAAATCATTAGATTTGACTTTATAAAAAAAGCTAGTTATTAACATGATTTGATTACTTATCATCGATTTTTTTTTAAGTGATTCAAGTTGAGATGACTTCAAGTGCTTCCTAATAAATACCAAGCGTTTCGTAGCTACCTTAGTTCCTTATCTTTTTCTCTCTTCAATGCCCGAATATGGCTATATTCGAAAATTCACTATCTGTGTTAAAAACTTATATTAAACTTATATTAAGTTCAATGAGAGAATGATCTCGGATCAGACGAGAATTTCGTCCGTTTTGTACAGGTTTTTGTAGCGTTACATTGCTTGTTATGCAAACCGA